ATAACAGGGGGTATAGTCCCCTCTTTCATATTAACAGACCTCACACTGTGATTTTATACCGTAAATAAAGGAATTTGGCAATTAATGCCACTCGTTCGGCAACTCTGTTTTCAAGCCTTGGATGATTAACGTAGGTGAGTTGCAAGAAAATTGCCCTCCCCAGAGAGTTTCAGGCGTGCTTTATACGGATGAGGTCTAGAGGTCAAACTGACCAATTCGTTCGGCGAATTTCCTCACTTTCCACAAATTCGTCGACCAGATGAGCTTTATGTGCCTCGCGTTGTCATTAATTAAAAAAAAACAGCCAACAAGGTGAACATAAGGCTCCAAGATCTCATCCATTTGCCTCACAGCAGTCATAGTGTCTATTTTAAAGACGTGGAGGAGTGTGTGGACATCCAAAGTGATGTCTGCCCAGACCCTTTAAACTCCGCTACCTTAATGGTCGATTTCTCGGACATTGGAGGCTAGGTACCAGGGCTCTGGTTCTCACCATATATTCTCTCCCTATTTTCATATGGAGAGAAGCAGGGACCCACTACCAACCCTCCAATGTCCGAGAAATCGACCATTAGGATAGCGGAGGCTTGATAGTCAGGGAAGGCATCACTTTGGATGTCCACAGTGCACGATCAAGCAGAAGACGAAAAATTTCTATCAGACTGAGTCGATGATGCTGGGTGAGGGAATCGAGGTTATATGAAATGTTGGTATGTACATTGTACTACTTAATACTCTGTACTCATCAAAAATCCCCGTTTTTGATTATTTATATTGTAGATAAATAATTTTGAGTCTCTAAAATCATCCTACCAAATTTAAGTCTATTTCCATTTTTTTGAAAATTCAACCCGTTTATTGTAATGCTAAAATCTGAAATTATTACTTTTGATTATTTTTCGCCTATATTTCACACTATAAAAATTCTTTTCCGCATTAGTTAAGTCCCAATCAATAACGTTTTTCTCTATATAACGGCTAAATACTCTATTTTATATTTAAATAGACACATTTCTTATGCATGTTACTTATTAAATATCTTTTTAAAATTATATATATATTTGAGATGCAATTACTAGTGAAATATATTTAACCGAAATCTAAGGTAAAATAATTTTAAAATATTCTTTAGTTATATTGAAGATGTAAATATAGGGAATATGAACATATTGGCCAAATGTCAACTCTCCTGATATTCGATGTTTCCGCCTTTTGCTTTGTAGTATAGAGCATTAACTTGCCCTGGTATTGATGTATTAAGCATCTGAAATGCCTGTAAGGTGATTTCAGATCGTGCTTTATGAAGTGATATTTCTAGTTCTTTGACATTTGTTTTGAAAAGTTATTCATCTGTCTTTAAAGCCTTGCCAGTTAATACCCCAGATTTTCGATTACCCTAATATCTGGATTTATTGATGGTCATTGCTGATGAAAAATACACCATGGGTACAGTGCCGATTTATCCAGGGGGCGCTTGGGGAGGGCACCTAGGGGCCCGGGGCGGGGAGGGTCCCAAAAGGGCCCGGATAAGCTGCACTTAACAAGATCTTTTGGTTATAAATTTCGATCCTCCAGTGCCAATGGGGCCTGTAGATCTTCTGCACCCAGGAAATGAGCTTAAATCGGCACTGCGTGGGTAAACCAGGTCTGTACAGTTTGGGCGGGGAGAGGAGTAGCATTGTCGTATCGATATACTCATATTCGGTCACCATTTGAAAACCAATCCTCCATTAATGGTTCAACAACGTTTTCTAGATTAGGACTCATTTCTAGTTCTTTTTCCTTTTGTAGTGATAAGGGAACCAATCCAATTTCAACCAAATGCTCCCCAGATCATAAATCCATTACCTCCAGCCTACACATCTGGTTATATGCAATCTGGATGAAGCGCTTCATGTTGCCTACCATCATTTGTAAAAAGTGTAGAACAGTTCTCATCGATCCACAAAACTTTTTATCACAGTTCAGCATCCCAGATTATTGTATTCCTTAGCCCAAGAATAACGATATTTTCGATTTAAAGCTAACTAATATAGTTTTCGTGTTGTTTGCGTCGTCTTCCAAACCCAAAAAATTTAAGTTCTTTTCGTATTGTTTTGCCAAAGATCTGTGTTTCCGTGTTTAAGGTATCCGACTACCCTAAGATTGTAAATTTCGCCAAAAATTGACAAACTTTTTAAAATTTTATTTTATAGGCCATTTTATTAGCTTTATAAAAATACCAAGTTCATTATTTTCCGTTCACTAGAACAAAAACTAGAAATGTTTTAGTAAAAGCAGATGCCATTACTTTAAGTAAAATGTCGTACCTTAAAACGCGTTTCATTCGAAATGTGTGTTTTTTTTAAAAAAGCTCAAACGGGGTCAGTGATTGCTCAAAAAGTTTTGAAAATAATTAACTGAAATTTTGTGTGTGTATGTTTTGTATAATAGTAGAAGTGTTTTAACCTTCAGATTTATCAATCACTGTTTTATTACAAAATTTACAGTCAATTATGTTAATATAATCACTTTCTTTTAAGCAATTTCATATAACAACTAAGATAAAGTGCCCTGGTATTTGTAAAAATTAAAATCTCTTATCCTGAAGGTCATTTCAAAAATAAATTACATAGCAACCCACCAGAATGGAAAAAGTGAAAATTAGTTCATTAACTTTTGGTACAAAATGGTTCCCGTTTATTTTATTTTTTGTAAATTTGTACCAATTATTTCCCATTTTAGTAATAATAATTTCTTTTTCTCTCCTTAATTTTAGCATATTTTTCTTAAAATGTACTAAGCAAATCTAAAAACCACAACAACAAAAAAATTCCCTATATTTTCATTTAAAAAAAAGTTGTTGTGCAGGTGGTCGGATTTCTAATTTTTTAATTCCTGCGTAATTTGTAGACTTGTCAATCGTCTGGATTTCCTTTTTTCTTTTTCTTTTTTTCCCCAGAAATTCCCTTTAATTTCTTCTCATAACGTTTTTTCCTTTTCTTGGGTTTGTTTCCAAGATGATGAAGCTTTTTGTGCTACCTTTAGTTACATATGCCTTATGTATCCTCATTACTGTTCTATTTGATATTCTAAGTTGCTTACAAAATTTCACATACTTTCACACCATTTTGTAGCATGGAAACAATCTGCCCTCTTTTAAACTTTTTAATAGCTTTTGTTGATGGCGTGATAAAACAAAAACAATTAGTTTTATAAAATTAAAACAATCTTAACTTGAAATAAGAGAGTCGATTACTTTTACGGAAGCCCTTTTCTAAGATATTAATAAGTATTTTCTATAGTTGCAATTTAATGAAGAGTAAAAATAAAATAAGTGGTAGGTGACAAGTCTGGCCCCACTATATTTACTACCTTTATTGCTTAAAATATACCATAAAAGTCCAGGATATTCAAACAGTATTGGAATTTGGAATGTGAAATCAATGTTCATTCATTTGATTTTTATGATTTTTTGCCGTTTAATCAAGCATACAATTTTTATATAGACGAATTAATTTTTTTTGGGACTGTAATCTTAAATTTTTTTAAAATAAAATATTAAAAGTAATTTTTCTGCGTACGAAACAATACTCTAAAAATCATTACTATTTTTAACAAAAGTAAAATAATGCTTTTAAGGACCGAATAAATATCCAATGCAACCAAATGAATTCTTCCTTCACATGTTTTTTTTTTCCTTTTTTTCATTTCACTCTTCATTAACAAAGAGATCAAGATAGAACAAAAAGAAAAATAATTATTTTCAGATAGTACTGAGAGAACTCTGGTTATTTTTTTTTAATTTTATTTTCTATAGGGAATCTTCCAGGGTATTTTTATTTAAAATTTTAATGCCGCTCCAACCTAAGAAAATATTTCGAGTCATTAGTAAAATAAAATACCAAAAAGTCGGAAAAACATTTCACTCTTTCAATAGCTTTTCTCATTTCTCGTTTTTCGTTTGATCTTTCTATCGGAGTCCAGGTATACATACTTCGAAATTACTTTTTCTGTGCTTCCTTTTCTACTATTAATTAATTTTTTTCTTCTATTAGAATTTTAAAAAAAACATATATCTTTGGAACAAATCTTTAGAGTGTACCGGCGAATCTTAAAAGTACAGTTGACATTAAAAAAAAAGGAAGTTCATTTTTTCGTTTATATGTATTACTTTTTTTCTAGAAAAAGTTCTATATGGTAAAGGGTTTTTTCTAAGTTATTTTTTTTTTAAATTTGGGTGTAAGATCAACTTTTTCTATATGTTAAGTTTACTATTTCTCTAGTTTCTATTATTCAGTCAGCCTATCTATAAGCAACGTGAGCACAAAAATAAAATTAAAAACAATATGAAGGTTATTTATCTTTACTTTCAAAAGTTTTGAAGTAGTTATTTATTTATTAAGGATTAATGTTGGTAAAAAGTTAGTATTTTACCAATATTATTACACATACTCGCAAGTAAAAGACCAGGGTAAGCCATGGGGAAAAAACCCAGTTTTACCCAATGATTCAATAATTTATCTAGCAAAAATGGCTAGACTATGTATTTTCATTTTTTGTTTATTTAGCCGACAGGCATCGGAAGCCTTGCGGTCATGATCACAGATTTTAGTGGGTTCGCCACTTGCACCACTGTTTTTGTTTAAAAAAATGTACATCTGTAAAGTAAACAATATAGGAAGCATCAAATTTTCGTAAACCAGAGAGCTAATTTCATGCTTTCGATTACAACATGAACAAATAATATAAAAAAAAAAATTTAAATCAATTCCTACTTAGGTCAACAAAGAAAAAATTTTAGTTACCTTTTATTAAAAAGTTACAATTAATATAAATATGAATATACATATGACAGAATTACATTTCGTGACAAAATAGATAGCGATTTTTTCCTTGCTATTTTCCCTTTTTCTTTCAATATAGGATGTTAGACTAATTTTTGTTATTATTTACTTTATTTAATTATTCTATAATAAAATAGTATAGTAAAAAAGGAATCACATTCGCAGAAATTAGGCCATTCCAGGTGGAATTCAAAACCACGAGTTTTGGATTAAAAGCCCAAAGCACTATCCGTTGCACTACCGGGACACAACCTAAATTTTAATTTCTATACATATAGAAATTCATACATATTCATACATATATATACATGTATATATATGTGTATATATATGTGTATATACATATATATGTATATATACATATATATATGTATATATACATATATATATGTATATACATATATATATGTGTATATACATGTGTACATATATATATATGTATATATATATATGTGTGTGTATATGTATATATATGTATGTTATATATATATATACACATATATATATGTATATACACTGGTGTGCAAAAATTAAGGACGAGACGGTTTTTTCAATATAACTTTGTACAAAAGCATTCCAAATCAACACATTTAATACCGTAAGATCCCCAATACGTAAGGACATGAGTAATGTAAGCAACACTTACTAAAAGAGAAATCAGAGGGATAAAAAGAAGCTTTATTGAAAAAGTAGCATGGAGCGCAATGCGACTGAAGGCCGAAACATCCCTGTGATGGGTGTCCAGTAAGAAATATCCGGTCTTTAGTAGGGGATATGATCTCCCCTGAATGCTAGGCAGGTTTCACAGCGTCTGTCCATGCTGAGAATGAGGGTGTCAATGAGTTGTTGAGGCATTGCTGCCCATTCGTCTTGCAGCGCCAATCGAAGCTCCGGAATCGTTACTGGTGGTAAGGTATGAGCTGCCAAGCGTCTGCCTAGAAAATCCCATACATGCTCGATGGGATTGAGATCAGGAGATCGTGCCGGCCAATCCATACGTTCAATATCCTCACTCTCTAAGAGCTGTTCGGCAGCTACTGTGCGATGACATGGTGCATTGTCGTCCATGAAAAGGAACTGCGGACCCATAGCGCCTCTAAAAAGACGCACATATGGAAGAAGAATCTCGTTACAATAACGGGTCCCGTTGACTGAACCTGCGTCGAAGATGTAAAGGTCTGTACGACTACCAAGCATGATGCTTCCCCAAACGAGAACACCGCCACCTCCATACCTGTTCCTTTCAATGATGTTCGAGGGATGATTGCGGTTTCCCCGCTCTCTCCAGATGAGTATGCGATGAGAATCACTACTCAGACTGAATCTGCTCTCATCTGTAAAGAGTACTCGTCCCCATTCATTGTCTCACCAATTCCGGTGTTCCCGGCACCACAGAGAACGCCTTCTTCGATGGGCAGGCGTTAGAGGTACACACCGTACAGGGCGTCGTGCAAACAGACCACCACCGTGCAGTCTTCTGGCCACGGTAAAACGCGATATCGGTCGTCCAGTCGCCTGTGTCGTGTGTCTAGCGATTTCTCCCGCTGTCTGCAACCTATTTCTTCTGGCCTGTAAGGCAATATACCGGTCATCTGCGGGTGTGGTTCCTCGTAGACGACCACTACTGAACCCCCGGATAGCTGTTCCTGTAGTTTGAAATTGTCTCCAAAGTCGTGAAACGATGCTGTGAGCAATTCCGAACTCTGCAGCCACACTTGTCACACTGCGACCTTCCTCCAACTTCCTAATGATTCGACCTCGGGTAAAAGCATCCAGACGTCGTCTAACAGATTGATTATTTGCCATTTCTCGCTGAGGCAGCAACTCGGTGTGATTTTAACTGCTATACGGTGTGCAATCTCTTTGCCAGAAATACTAATCTTACACCGACAACATGCTTTACTACTCAGACACTCCCCCATTACGTCTACCTGCATATCTGCGCATGTGCTACCGTACATCACCTCACTTAATCTCCTGATTGGTCTTCTTGTCCGCTCTACCTCTTCGTTCAGCTGATATGCTAATTTTTCGACTTCGTCCTTAATTTTTGCACACCAGTGTATATGTATACATATATATATATGTATATATATGTATATATATGTATATATATATGTATGTATATGTTTATATATATATGTATATATATGTTTTTTATGTGTATATATATATCTATATATATAAAGGAGAAAAGCGACTGACTGACTAATCACGATATCTCCGGAACTATTCAACCTACAGACTTGAAATTTGGTAGATATGTTCCTTTCATAGAGTAGACGTCAGTTAAAAACGGATTTTCCGAAATTCGAAACGCAAGGGGCGTTAAGGGGGTTAAGGGGCGTTATAAATAATTGCTTCCATGTTTAAACTACTTGATGTACAATCTTGAAATTGGGTAAGCAGATTCCTTTCAGAGAGTAGAGATCCACTACAAAATGAGTTTGGTGAAAATCGACCCCCAGGTGGCGTTGCAAGGGCTTAGGGGGCGTTATAGATAATTATTTCCATTTTTAAACTATTTGACGCACTGTCTTTAAATTTGATAAATAGATTCCTTTCGTAGAATAATGATCAGTTACAAAACAGGTTTTATGAAAACAGACTTCTAAGTGGCGTTGTGGGGGATTAAGGGGCGTAATAAATAAATATATCCTTTATTAAACTACTTCACTTACCTGCTTGAAAATTGGTAGGTAAGTTTCTTTCCTGGAGTAAATATCCGTACAAAATGGGTTTTGGGAAAATTGACCCACAAGGGGTGTTGCGGGGGCGGGGGGTTTAAGGGGCGTTATAAATTCCGATTTTTAAGTTACTAGACGTACAGTCTTGAAACTTCGTAAGCAGATTCCTATTCATAGGGTAGAGATACGCTACAAAATGGGTTTCGTGGAAATTGCCCCCCAATTGGCGTTGCGGGACTTAAGGGGTGTTACAGATAATTATTTCCATTTTTAAACTATTTGACGCAGTCTTTATATTTGATAAATATATTTCTTTCATAGAGTAGAGATCAGCTATAAGAAAGTTTTGTGAAAACAGTTCTCTAAGTGGCGTTTCAGGAGATTAAGTGGCGTAATAAATAAATATTTTCGTTTTTAAACTACTTGACCTACCTGCTTGAAAATTGGTACGAATGTTTCTTTCATGGAGTAAATATCCGCTACAAAACAGGTTTGGGGGAAATTGACCCCCAAGGGGTGTTGCGGGGATGGGGGTTTAAGGGGCGTTATAAATTCCGATTTTTAAGTTATTAGACGTACAGTCTTGAAACTTAGTAAGCAGATTCCTCTCATAGGGTAGAGATACGCTACAAAATGGGTTTCGCGAAAATTGCCCCCAAGTGGCGTTGCGGGACTTAGAGGGCGTTACAGATAATTATTTCCATTTTTAAACTATTAGACGCACAGTCCTTATATTTGATAAATAGATTCATTTAATAGAGTCAGCTATAAGAAGGTTTTGTGAAAACGGACTTCTAAGTGGCGTTGCGGGGTATAAGTGGCGTAATAGATAAATATTTTCATTTTTAAACTACTTGACCTAGCTGCTTGAAAATTGGTAGAAATGTTTCTTTCATGGAGTAAATATCCGCTACAAAACGGGTTTGGAGAAAATTGACCCCCAAGGGGTGTTGCAGGGGGTTAAGGGCAGATATAAATAATTATTTCTATTTTTAAACCATTAGACTCACAGTCTTGAAATTTGGTAAGCAGATTCCTCTCATAGGATAGAAATACACTACAAAATATGTTTTGTGAAAATCGACCCCTAGGTGGCGTTGCGGGGGTTCAATGGGCGTTATTGATAATTTTTTTGCATTTTTAATTAATTGGACGCACATTCTTCAAATTTTGCTAAGCAGATTCCTTTCATAGAGTGCAATTCCCCTACAAAATGGGTTTTGTGAAAACAAACCCAGAAGTGGCGTTGTGGGGGCTCAAGGGGCGTTATAGACAATTATCCCCATTTTTAAACTGTTAGACATACAGTCTTGAAATTCGATAAGCAGATTCCTTTCGTAAAGTAGAGAACCGCTACAAAATGGGTTTTGCGAATATCAACTACCAAGTTTAATTTCGGGAGTTTAAGAGGCGTAATCGATAAATATTTCCATTTTTAAACTATTTGATCATCCTGCTTGAAAATTGGTAGGCATGTTCCTTTCATGGAATAGAGTTCCTCTAACAAAGAGTAAAACGTAAATTGACCCCTAAGGATGTTTGCGAGGGGTCAAGAGGAGTTACAGAAAAAAATTAATATTTTTATTTGTTAGACCCATATACTTGAAATTTGTTAAGCATGTTTCTTTTGTTGAATAGATATCCACGAAGAATGTATTTTAAGCAAATCAAGTTCTTAGGGGGGGTGCAAGGGGTTACTGGGACGTATTGACAAAAAAAATTACTTTTTTCGAGCTACAAGGACTATAATAATGAAATTTGGTTTGCATTTTTCTTTTGTTGAATTGAAATCCTCTAAGAGCGGTTATATTGGAAAACGGCTCTCAACGGGATTACGGGGATATTGATAGTAAAACTTCTTTTTTTCTGTTAGATTTAGACTTGAAATTTGGCTTGCATGTTCAATTTACGGAGAGAAGATCCACCGAAAATTGGTTTTGCGGGAATCCACTTGGTTTTTGGGTTACGAAAGAGCAAATATCATTCTATACTTCAATTTTAGAGATTTTTAGAAAATACAAATTAGATGAGTTCTGCCCTTTTTTTTGCGACAGTTAAAGGTATAAGTATATTTTTCAATACAATCGAATTCTTAATGCTAGGACTTAGATATCAATAATTTATACATATATATAAGCAGTAAAAATTTATAAAACATCATGAAATACCCAGCGAAGCGGGCGGGTAACAGCTAGTGTATATATATATGTGTAT